AGTTACTGTGTTGAACCACTCAGTACATCTGGATTCTTCATTTGGATTCTTTGTAAATTCCTGATTGCAAGGTTGTTCAAACAATTCTCACAGACTTTTTTTGGAAGTCTATGCAAGGTTAATCTAAACAGGAGGTACAATAGAGAGCTCCACTTTATTATATAGGACTGGAGTTTATCCATTGACATCAGCACCCTTCAGAGCGTAAAGCATATGAGTTCTTTTCTTGTCTAAACTATTTTGAATGAGGTCTCTTTTACATGCTAGTTTGGCAAGCTTCTAAGGCATTTGTGCAAAGTGATGATCCAAGAGCAACCTGATTCAATACTGAGAAATTCATAAATAACATCCAGCAGTAATTAAAGTGAAAAACAGCTAAGAAAAGCAATCTCCTACAGCATCAGTTGAGCTGCTATACTTTGCAGTGTTAGAAGTGGAGCATGTTCACTGGTTCCTTCAACTAGGGAGGCATCATTGTGAATTTTAAGCACACCAAGGATTCATTCTGGTTTCTTTACATAGATTGCATTGGAATAATGATGACTGAAAAACCATGAATATATAATAGCTGTAGATAGAGAAAGAGTAAGAGTGGAAGAAACACACAGCACCAGAAATTACCATCTGGAAACATACTAAACATTTAGTCAATATATTTGTACTAAAATGAAGAGTTAATTTCGAAGACCAGAAAGGTTTTAAGATAACTTAGTGCACTCTACAAGGCCATTCTCAGGAGTCAAGTGTATAATTATCTGAGACCAAGATATTTAGAACTTCAGACTGAAGAACTGGAATAGCCAGGTGATGTCTTTACCATCTTGATGAGAGTGCAATACACTCTTTCCAGTAAGTACACACTAAAGTTACAAAAAACCCTATAAATTTTCTGGATTTTTTCTTAGTTAGGCTTAACTGGCAGGTAACAGAATTTATTTGTTCAGTTTTTTACGTGTGCAAATCTCAACAAAGTAGTAGAATTTAGGTTGCTGGTAATCTAGCAAATAAAAATTTGGAGGCTTTTCTACTTGTTTCTCATGCTCTCTTCTGAACCACCAGCACAGCCTTGATTTACTGGGAGGAACACCTGGCCCTGTATTGGGAAAAATCTATCTGTTCCTGTTAGGGTACAGCTATAGCTAGCGTGCTGTAGAATATAATCCATGCCTTTCTGGTCTTCAAAGAAGAGGTGAGAATAATTGTGGATACTAGTTCATGCTTCAGGCAGAAAAAGTAGCTGGCCCAAAACAACTTGAGACTTAATATGCAAGATCAGGAAAGTAGCCACTGTGTGATATTTGGACTTCAACCTCTGCTTACAGGAATTTCTGTGATTATGGTTTTGATTGCAGCCAGATGTTAGGGGAATTCAGATTTTATACCTTGGCAGGACAGAATAATTCAACTGTGTTGTAGATTATTTGATAATGAAGGCAAGAGTAAATTGTGAAATTTAGATCTTGAACTATGATTGGATAAAAATGCTCTAATTTAGATGTGCTTGTGGTTTGGCCCAACATATCTCAGTCAGTTTTTGTCTTTTTGTGACTCTAGTTTTAGGTACTAAACTGTAAACATCACAATGTCTTCTTAGGAAGTTTGCTCTATGCCTCACTATTAGATACAGGATCTTTAGCAGGATTTCATGTGAGGAACAGTTAAACAAAATCTTGTATGAATAAGGCACTAGTAAATGTTTGCAGCAAACAACAATTACAATCTATATTCTTTAAGAATAAAACTGTTCAGTTTAGGAAATTGCCTTTAATATGACAGAGTTACCAATGCCAGTAAGAAGGGCTAAGAGAAAGTGCATCTTTTGGGTTATGCCTGTGAGGTCTGTGAGAAACCCCTGAATGCAAATCGCTGTTAAATTAGGAAATAGCCTGTGCAGTGGTGATACCCAGGAGATTGGAAGCAGGAGGAAACTAGTTTAGATTCTGATCCCTGCTAAACTAGTGTGAAATCACTGTAATCGATTTGCTTCCAATTTATTACAGTGGTAGAAGGATCTGAAGCCAAAACTGAGGCTGTTTTAGCAAATCTAGTTAAACAGTAACAGCACTGGCCCAGGCCAAATAATTGGCAATAATCCCCTTAGACAGTTTCAAAAAATAATCTGGTATTTTAAATTTCCTATTTGCTGAAGTCCAAGGATGCACTTTGTCTCTTGGCTAATGTAATAGATCAAGACCTTATGTACTACTTTGGAGCTGATGCCATTCTAAACAGTTATTACAGTATTGATCCATACTTTATACCAAATGAAATTTGAGTCTGCCATTCCATTTATAGGTTGGCTGGACAGTATTGCACATTGCAAGTTGTTCAAAACCACCCAAATTCTTCCATTCATAAAACCAAAATATACTGCCACTTTTAAAAATACTTCTATGTATCTGTTCTTTGAGGGGGGGTCATTAAAAACCAAGAATCTGTTTATCTAGCCAATAAGGAAATATTTGCAAACTAACATATCTTGTTACTATTAATGATCTGCATTTTCCTAGGATCTGTCCAGTAAAACTCTTTTACCATTCATCTGTTATACTGAATCAGTCAACTGTCAGTCCCATTTCATCAATAAATCTTGCTTTGTAAACAGCTTAGCTTTATCGTCTGACAAATTTGTGTCCTACTCAGATATCCTCCATTATTTATACAAGATGTCATTTAAAAAACTTAACATGTTTGCAGTATCCATAATGCAAGCAGGGGAAAAAACCCCTACATTGATTGATTACTGTATATTATTGCCATTAGGTGCTACAGTTAACAACTCCAGACAGGGTTTTGGGGATTTTTTTTTGTTTGCATGAATTATTTTGTATTTTATATAAGGACATGGTATTATCTCAAACTTTAAGATTACCCATGGGGTGATCCTTGGGGACCTCAGAAACTGTACAACTATCTCAACCAGCTTTCAAAAATGTGGTGGCTTTTTGTTTGTTCATTTTGTGGGTTTTTGGCTCACAAAACTGAAGTTATTTGTGGTATAACTCAGCTGAAATTTTCACCAGAAATTAATCTGGACTAATACTTATTCTTAGAAAAACCAAAATCTCCACAGCAAGTAAGTTAAGTACTGATAATCTTTCTCCCATATATACTATACATACTCTAAATTAAATACAGAAGGAAGAAAATCCAGAAATTTCTCCTCACAAAGATCTTTCCTCATAGCAACTCAGGAAACCTTTTTCTTTTTAAATATGTGTTTCTTATCAGTATGTCAGATTATATGCTTTTCTATGTGTATGTGTGAGACTAATACATAGCATGTGTTTATCTGAATATCAGAAAATGTTATTGACTATTGGAGCTGTGCAAAACAGTTTCTGTAAAAGTTGGCAATCTTGAAAGTTTTTTTGATTTATCATTATTTTCAGTAAGATGATGTAAATCTTTGCAATTGCAAAATAAACAAAGATTCTTTGTCAAAAGTGTGCCTTTGGGGGGGTCATATTTAGTCTTGTGGGGTACCTAGCTGTTAATTTATTAAAATTTCCTAAGCTGTGCTCACTGTAAAATAAATTTGAATTTATTTACCTTATAAGATATGTTCTGAAAGTCAAGGTGGGTTTATAATTTCTTTTTAAGATTAAACTAATCATTGGAATGTGGTTGGGTTTCTTTCTCTTTTTGCCCTCTGCTTTTGAAGTGCGCCTTCAGAAGATGAAAAGCCATCACTGTTGAAAAGGTTCTGTGAATATTTAACAAAACGCAGAATGCAGTTCGCTTTCATGGCTGTGTTTCTTCAATGGAAGCAGAGGCAAAATAGTGAAACATTTTTATTATGAAACTTATTTTTATTATGAAACTATGTTATTACATCTCTAACTGGAGAAAAATCTGTTGCCAAACATTTATGTGTATTTCTTCATAGAGCAAATTCACAATTTTATGGAACACTTGCTTCTTGGTGCAACTTAGTTGTGATTGTAGAGGCACACTTTTGACACCAACTAAAACTGTGGTTGAAATGAAGGCATCACTTTTCTGTCCATGCAGGTGTATTTACCTATATGGATGACATTTTAACAAAAAAATGTCACTTAACAATTTTTATTTTTTTTAGAATGAAAGTTAGGAAAACAAATTCTTCAGGTGTAAAAATCAACAAAATTACTGTATGATCGCTTAACAGCAATTATTGCAAGATTTTGCATAACCCTTGGCCTTTCTAAAAAGCAGTATTTGATTTTGATATGTGCATTGGTTTAATAATGAGTCATCACATATCTGCTGACTCACATGTGATAAATATTTAACTTGGGGATGAAATTTTCTTGGGATTACAAAAACATAAAAAAAATCTGTCCTAGGTTTTAGCTATTAACCCGGAGATTTTCACTGTTAGATGAAATGCATGTAATTGGAAATAACTATTCTGTTGAAAGGAATCCACAGTGCTTTTATAAAAAATCTCAGAGGCTTTAGGGAATACGACGAATTTGATGAGGCCAACCCCTCAAAAATTCTCATACTGTTAGGAGATGAATGAATTACCAGTTCTGTAACTCCAATGTATTTTAAGGCTAGTTAGAAGACATGGAATAGTGATACTCAAAGTAAATGCTCAAAACCAGGAAGTATTTTTATGACAGGATAGTTATTTAAAGGGAATTATTTATATGGGTGAAATTTTGCTCATTCCTTTACATTTTCTAGTACAGTAAACCTACCATCTATTTGTATGTCAATAATAACTGATCTTAGAATGCCATTTCATAGCTTGAATCTTCATTTTGCCTCAAGGTTTGTTCTAACCAGGTTGGCAATCGGGGAAAGTCCTAAAACAGAAACATTGACACATGCTGATAAATTCAAATGTGGAACATTAAAATTCACATGGAAGTGGAAATGACATTCAGTGTTAGAAGTAATAAGTTTGAAAGTCTTAAATAATTCATATAGAGAATATAGGTTAGACAGATTTAATATAAGTGTGCTTTTTCCTAAAAACATCCCCCCCAAACCAAACTTTTTTTTTCTTTTTTTCTTTAAGTCTTTTGTCTGTAAATATGAAAGAAGGCTACACCCCAACATGATTCTTCATTGCCATACTAAACGGTAAAATAAGTCTTTCTAATTCACATTGCTCATGGCAGTCTTATTTGAAGTTCCTTTATTGAGTTTGTGGTTAAAGCAGTTTGGGATTTTTGTTGGTTGTAAACTTTTGGCATAATGTGAATACCAGTCCCTTTCAAAAACAGCCTTGAGTTGCTTAATGATGCTTGTGCTGTTCCCCGCGTCTGCTTGGTTGATAACAAGGCCAGCTCCAGCATTCTGCGTAAAAGCATTTCCTACCCAATCAAAATTACCTGCAAGCAAAGGCAGGAATAAACAGTGAGTTTCTAACATTAAAAAAACCAAAAACAAATAGAAAACTGATCTCCCTAAAGGCAATCCAGAGTGAAACACTACCATTTTCCCCAGTGCCAAGATGGAAATAATTTTTTTTTCTAATACCAGCAGAAAAAAAAAAAAAAAAGCTCTAATACATACCATTCATAGTGAAGATTGTTTCTGGAAGTTTTAACAGTGCTAAGCCTTCAGAAGTGAAAACAGATTCTTCTGTTTATTCAACACTAACTTGCTCTTCCTTTTACATCTATTACGTTATTACTCCATTTACTTTCTTCACTGGCCTTTTCAGTGCTAAGAATGACTTTTTTTTTTTCCTGTATGAACAATTCAAAGTTCCAAAGCAGTAGATCTTTTACAACTTACCTGTTGACAGACACTATTTGTGGAAAGAAAAATAGATTTTACTGGTTTATGCCAGTTATTACACTCTTTGTTGAAATCTAAGGTAACAAATAAGCACTTTGAATCCTGGGGATTGGAGGGCAAAAAGGATAATTGAACTAATGGAAATCAGGGATATCAAGTGCTTTGGTTACTTTTTTAAAATTTCACTAAAACTCTAAATATTTTAAATTCTACACTTAAAATACATGCAGTATTTTTTACAAACTTCAGCAGGAAGTATTACGAATTCTGAAGTTGTCAAGGGTGGTAAATTGAAACCTCATCACAAGGGACTATTTTTCCTGTGCTTTCAAGTAAAAGATGTATCTGGTCCTTAGCATCCATTTTTATTACTATAACAGATCTTTGATAATTTCTTTCTTTTATTTATACATAGCTAAGGATGCAAGGACAATGGGAAAGAAAAAACCCAACTTGGTTAAGAATCTAGCTGTGTAGATGAGTTCCAAGGGACTGAGATTTGATCCAGCTATGTGAAATAATTTAAAATGGAGTAGAAAAAACAATCTGAGAGAGGGGCAGGTGGGTATCATAAAACCTTCTGGAAATGAGGGGAGGTATGAGCTGCAGTATTGGATGTAAAAAATAAGAATTGGATAGATTATGAGGGGTGTGTTTTGAGCACATCAAGGTGGGCTTTTCAGAGAAGATTTCAGTTGTGTCTCTACAACTTGGGATGTCCCACTGTTGATGTGTGTGGGCTTTGTTTTGGATTGCAGCCTTTGCCCTCCCTCACTGCCTCTGCTGTCACGGGTGGTAAGCCCTCAGCACTGCATCAGTAAGATCCCTAAACCATCCAGCTGCAGCACATCAGATGGCTTTTTAAAATGTCAGGAGTTGCTTTTGAACTCGGTAGTGGTTTTCTGATCCTGTAAGCTTATGCACAACTCAGATTTTTCAAGAGATAGTTTTCAGCCTGCATTCAGTGGGCATTTGATTGGTAATGAACTTTTGTGAGGTGCAACACAGCAATTTTACTTAAATACACCTTTAATCCAAAATACCGGTTAGATACATACCTAATGTTAGGAGGGTGTCGGAAATGTCTGGAATGGAATAAGTAAATGGAATAAGGCTTTGGATGATGAGGATGAACAGCATCTGTACAGTATTTGCCAGGACTGACCATAGCTTTAGTAATAACATGGGGAAAGGAGAACACTCCATCTTTATTGGATTGCAGAACAAGAGAACATGATGATAATAATTATACCTGCTTCATAAATTGTGTCATATTTGTGTTTTTAGTCTGTTTTAAGATACTGAAAGTAGAATTTTGGTCTTGAGAAACTGATTCAGAGGGGACGAAAAGGTTTTAAATGAGAAGAGTCTCTAAGTTCAAGCATCATCCTGGTTCCCAAGGAGATGAACTGTTGTCTTCACTTAAAAGAAAGTATCATCTGTAGATTGCTCATCTACAAAAGGTTGTTATTTCAGGCTTTTGGATACAAACTAGAATTTCTTGAGATGTGGTTACTTACCAATATACGCAGCTCCGTCGGTCACCATGTATTTGTTACGATTCAGTTTGGGAAGTGAAGTGTTCTTCTGTTCTTTAAGAAAGCAGGCACTCTCTTCCTCAAGGTCAAAGAATTTCTGCCATAAAATAGAAGGAAGCACAGGTTAATGAGAATTGCTCTATAAGACAGAAAAAATACAGTCTGTTCCCCAATCTTTATTGAAAATGAGTTAGTGCTACAGAACAGCTTGAGTTTTTATTGCCAAGCATTAACTTTAATAAAATTTTGCACATTATATTTCTAATTAAATTCTCATAGCTTGTGATACTCCTGCCTTGGCATTCTGAACTATACAAAGTATATGGCTAATGCATGCTAAAAGCAATACACTGCCAGGTAGTAAAGACTATAAAATGTAAAAAAAAACCAAACCAAAACATCTTTCTGCTCTCCATGGTAGCAGCCAGGAACTTTAACTCATTTCTTCATTTTTCAAGGGACATTGGGGTTTGAAGTCTGCTTCAGGATGGGGATTGGCAGACACAGCAACAGTTGAATTAATACCTCTGCAATCACACATTACATAGTTTCCAACAGGAAACTTGACATTTCAGAAACTTAGAAGCTTCTCAGGATTAAATTTAGTATGAAGAGATCAAATCATCCAGGCAACAAAAGGAAAATGTTTTACCCTGGAGCGTGAAGTATGAGCAATATTTATTTGTTTATTTATTTATTTATAACTTTAGAGCGATATGCACTCCTTTTCTGATCAGTACCAGACAAAAATGAGCAAGAATACACCTGCACAACTCAAAAATAGATTCATGTGGAGGCAAAAGAATAACTTGGCTGTATATAAATGTCTGTTCCATGCCACTCCTTTGTGTTTACCAGTTGTCTACAGACAATTTTGTTCTAGGTCATGACTTCTGTTGGCCCTTTGAAAGCACACACCCTTCTCTGTTCAACACTGCACCCAACAGAGCTGAACACTTCCTGCTGCTCCTTTTAGAGTCAGATCAGACATCTGTGCACACAGGATGCATTTACAGGGTCAAGTACACAAAACTTAGAGAATATGGGAATTAAGGTCCCAAGAAGCACAATGGTGAGCTCTTCACCTTGAGTCTGCTCTTCCTGATTGAAGCTTTAATTTCATGACCACATGTGCATAGGACAGAGCTCCCTGCTTCAGCAGCAGTTTGATGTGCAGGTTACTCCTTGCCCTTTGGCTGTGCACTTATAGCACTTAGTTAGTCCTCAAACAAAGCTTTCTAGGTGAAAGTTCTTCCAGTGATCATTTTCTTCAGAATATTTTTATTGAGTTTGCATTCTCAAAACAGTTTCAGTTGAATCCAGTAATTATTAATGCTTATGTGAAGGGGACTCTGAGATGCTGAAAATGCCAGGTGTAACAGGGTTGCAGTGCCCTGACTCTATAATTACAGTTAGGCAATACCAAAACTTGCATTAGCCTGGTCAGAGACCAGGAGAAATGAGGAGATTTTTCATCTAACACAGTAATTACATCTGCATCTCCTTCTCCAGGATGACCACTGGCAAACCAGTATACCCTGCAGCTGCAGCAAGCCATTGGCACTCACTGGAAACTTTCAAGCCAAATTGGTCTTTCCATAGGGATAAGAAAAAAAAGGAAAACAATCAAGAAAAGGCATATCACAAGGATCAAGAGCTAAATTAAAAATAAGAAGTTACTGAGTATGCTTTGTAGGATATATTATCCCCAAAAGAACAGAATAGGGGGATAGGAAGTCATGTGCAGGTGTGTGTGCCATTTTGGTCAGAACCGTACAGAGGTATTGCAGCAGCCTAGCAATTTGAAGTGTAATTTCAATCAGAACTTGTAACAGGTTTCTCTTAAAATTTCAGTGGTTTTGTATATAAACACACACAGTACATGTCTGCAAGACAGTATTTTTTGTACTGAGGTTAGTTTATGTTTTCTCATAGCCAAAGCATAACCAAGAGAGAAAAGGAGTGTTTTCAATAGTTCAAAAGGTAATTTAGTTTATACTTGTTAACCTATTCTTTCTCCTCCATACAAACACATAGTTTTGTTTTACTTTGATCCTGGCTATAACAGGGGAATACAAAAGAAATGCAGCTTTAAAAAGCAGTTGTTCATCTGACATGCTTTCTGAATTAAAAGAGTATTGAGATGGAGCCTATAGCACAGTTTTCAGCCAAAATCAAATTGATACCAGCAAACTCTGACCCCTGGACTATTACTCATACAAAGGTTTATTTAAGGCAGTGGCTCACTCAGACTGGGAAACTTGATGCACAGCACAGAGGTAACTGACTCAGTGCTGTACCTTTACAGCTCTCTACAGCTGACTTTTTGATTGGAAGTTGTTTTTGTATTTTCTAACAGCAGAGACTCTAGCTGGACTATTTATCTAGAATAGATGTCTAGAAGTATATTTTTTTTCTTTCATCATTTAGTTCTTGACAAGATAAATCCTGTACAAAATATTTTACCTGCTGTAGATAGATGGCAATGGATATAACTATTAGGTACCACACACAAAAAAAAATTTGAGTACGTAAATAGAATTTTAATGATAAATATGGAACAAGCTAGAAGCTACTTAAAATTGAAGTGGCTTAAACAGAGTCAGCTACATATGGGGTTTTTTGACTTAAAACCACACTTTATGCTGCTTTTTTACTGAGGAAACTTAGAATAACAATATACATTATGACAAAAAAACCTATTTCTAGATATGCATAATATCACTTATTTTGTGTATAAGAAATAGTACTTCCTTTTTAGAATTGCAGTGAATTTTCAAAAAGCCAGAAAAATACACAGGACTATCAATTTAGGAAATCAAAATAATTCAGCAGATTATTTAGAACCCCAAGATCCAAGGTGGCTGATTTCCAGTGTGCCTCAATTTCATAAAAGTGAACTGTACTGCACTAGAAATAGCATTTAACATACATTCTGTTCTGTAATACATTTGTATGGTATTTCTCACTTTCCTGTACTGCATGTCTAATGTGACACCAGGGTTGGTGTTTCTGGTCTTCACAATTTTGAGTTTGTAGTCTGAATTTAATGTAAAATCTTTAGTATTTTTTCTTGTACTCTGCAGTTGACTGAAGCAAAGGTAGATGCTTACACAGCTCAACAGCAAGATTACGTGAATGCAGACAAAAATCATATTTTTGTGCTGTCAGATTCACTCATCTCACAGTATAAATACAACCAGTTGCTACAGTTCACTCTGTTAGCTTTGCTGTGAAAGATCACATGTGATGTTTTGCACAGGCTATCCATCACACCAATTGACTTTTGGCACCAATACTTTCTGTCTTAATTTTGAATTCTGTTACTACTAGGAGTAAGTTATGTTCAATATTTTACATTTCCCAGTATTTAATTAAAGACTTTGATAATAACAGAAAAAAAAAAAATCAGTTGTTATGTTTTCTTCATTCCTTTTTTTAGGGGGGGTGCAATATCTTATATTTTAAAACAATATGGATATACTTACAACTTTCAAACTACAGCTTGGAACTTCCGTGCAAATCGCTTTCAGAGATGAAACAAAGTTAAAAGTAAGGGGATCTGTGTCTCTTGAGAAACTTATGAGAAGTCGTACTTTAATACTTCGTAAAACTAATGCTTCTCTTATCTTCCCATCTAAATATGGCCAGTACCTATGGAGAAAGAAGAAAATACTTGCAGAGAACATTGAAAACTTTAAAAAATTTGGGAGAGCCGCTCCCGTGCCTGAGAGCCGCAGCCAGAGGGCGCTGCTGGCCAGCCCAGACGCAGGATTTTCCCAGGTGTCACAGGTCAGGGAACCGGAACACCGGATCTCCCCGACTGACATCCCTTGTTTAACCCCTATGCATTGGGACCGTGCAGGCTGGGGACTGGAACGCCTTCTGTAATTTCCTCCTTGGCAAACAGAGCTGCTGTGCAGGGTGCCTGCATCTTTCAGGAGCAGCAGATGAGATGGGTCACTTAAGGAGGATGTTATGTTTTTTCCTGATGAGAATTGCAGAAATTCTGCCAGGAATCGGATGGTGGCTTCCATGATGCTATTCTCACAACTGGCAATTAGCTTTGACATTTGGTGGGAGCAGGGCAGGGCAGGGAGAATTAAACAAAGAAAAATGTATGTTTCCTACATTCCAGCAGCATCAAAACATCTGGGCTAATGAAATCTGAGCTCTATCATGCCAGAAAATAATTTACAAGCACGAACTGGGAGCTGGCAGGGAAAAGAAGCTGGGGCAGTGCCTCAAACACAAAGCCATGATGAAGGAAAAACGTTGAAGAATTCACAGGGTGGCTTCCCTGGATCTCCCTAATCCAGTAGATTTCTGAATTCTTCCACCACGAGAATAAAGTAAGGAGTATAGGAGATAACATAAACTGCAACACTGTAGTGCTTCTACATATTAAGATGTTCTCCAACATAAAGGAGAATAGGAGGGACACATATGAAACTGAGGTTCTTACAGTACTGTCCATGATTCTTTCCCTGTGACGGACACTGTACATAATGAGTTTACTGGAAAAACTCTCTCACAGCCTTAAAACAGTTTATGCTTGGTATCAGTCATATTGTAATTATTTTTTTAAAAACTTGAACAGAACAGCTCTAAATAGAAAAGCGTACAAAACCACATGCTTGGTTTGGCTTAACTGTGATCAAATGAAATGCATAGATGAAATAGCAGGCTTTCCTAGATTCTAAATTCATTGTGAGCATTATCAAGAGTAGGAGGGACCAGTGGATACTTGCCTCCTGAGCTGGATGGTTTTGATACACTCTGGCCCCAGTGCTGGGCCCATGAGTGCTTTTCAATGGTCCATAAAAACTGGCTGTTTGAAAATTATGTTGTTTTGTTTGGTTTCAGCACCTCTCAGTTAACCAAACTGCGATATCATTCAAATGTAATCTATTCTGAATCGGGAATTTTCATTTATATGTGTATGCCAGTAAGATAATGAGATTTCCCACACTGTATACAAGTCACAACACATGATTTCTCTCTTAACACACACACACGCACACTGTCATGCTGACTATCTGCACAATACTCATAATATGCCAGTAGTTGTGGTCTCAGAATAGTGTTAGAAATAAGATTCATGTATAAGCAGACTGTTACATTCCTGGGTCCCAGGCATGTGCAGACTAGACAACTTCTGATACCCTTTAACAAGAAGATCGAAAGCTTAGGACCCAGAACTGGAAATGTCCTCTTAGGTCCCAATTCTGCTCCCATTTAAGTCAATGGCAGGACTCTCACTGATTTCAATAAGAGCAGAATTGGGCCCCAAGAAACTGGTGCACAGTAGTAGCTAATCTCCTGTGGGTTCATTTTCTTCAGCAGACCCTACTGGCATTATGGTAACCAGCTGGGCCTGGACTTGGACACTCACCGTTTAGCATTGGTGTCGATAACAATGGGCAAGTAGTCCATGACAGCAATGTACACAAACTGTTTGGCATCATCAATAACACTGTAGATAGCTTCAATATCCAGGACTCTGTCCTTGGGGCAGAAGAGTTTAGGTGAGTTCTGTGAAAGGAAAAGTGCAAATACAGCATTAAAAATAATTGGTTTATTTTCTCTCTCCCTCAGTCTTCTTGAGATGCTAAGTAGCATCCATTATTTTTAGCAGAGATTATTACCTAATACCTTCAGCCATCCTGCTAGAATACTCAAAGCTACAAAGGTGTGCTACTTGCTTATTTAGCCCTCAAAAGCTTCACCATTTCGATGTAACTGTGGGTAAAATGCAGAAGACACAGACTTCAAAACATCTGCTGTCATCAAAGAAGCTGTAATTGAAGTTACATTTCAGAGGATTTTGTTCCAAAGAACTCCAGGACTGGTTTCTATTAGATGGAGTGTTCATATGCTCTTGCCACATGAGCCTGATCCTTCACTTGTGAGCAGGAATTAAATGTTTTATGTCAGTTGCAGTGAGACGCTGCAGTTTTGCAAGAAACTTATCTTTAAAATAAAGCTTCAGGTACAAATTACCAGTACAGAGCTGGTAACTGGCAAGGCCAGACTGCAGCTTTTCTGCCTTCTATCTGAGGATGTCAAAGGCAAGTGGAAATTGCTCGTCTGTGGCAGATGTGCCCGGGACTTTCTACTTGGCTGCACAAGCAGGGGGAGAAAAGTGAACCCCATTTTCAAGTTGCTTGCAGGCAGCAACTTCATTCCTGGGACAGAGGTTATGGAAGGCACTTTAACCCAGCTGCAACAGGTGTTTTCCTGCCACTGTATCATCTCCATTACTTGCTTGGGTTGCAGATGACATCCAGATGGGTATCTTTCCTTTCGGCACAGATCCCAGGGGTTTTATTATTCGTCCTTAATTTCCTTGATTTCAGACTGTCACTGTGATTTCTTATCACTGACTGGTGTTCTTAAGGATTTACTACAACTAAGTACAGAAAATACTACAAAATTAACCATAGTAAGATTTCAAGACTCCAACACCAGATCCATTCCTGAACACTAAAAAATCAGAACCTCTGACACTTTATCAGCCAGTCTGGAAGATGCGTTTGTTGCTAAGCAACATTAAGCCATGATTCCCAAGTATAACAAAAAAATTCAATGATTGTGTATTATGCTTGTTTTATATAGCACAAACACTGAAATATGTTTTCAAGGAAAGAATTTCAACTCAAGAGAAAAGTGTAAAGTGATTTAAATATAGTTAAATAATTAAATATACTTTATTTCAATTATCTGAAACTTTTTGGAGGTAATTGCACCAAGATGTTATTCTTAACACTTGTATTATTTTCTTGAACTTTTAGGTTCTAGAACAGCTGAAGAAAGAAATTCTTATGCACTTGTCTTTTTCGGATGCATTTGGTATCAATATCAGAAAATGAAAGACTTCTTGAAGATAATTAGAAGAAAAAATCTCAGTAAAAACTCTCACTGTAGCACTGTGCTTTGGCATTCCATTTCTTACTCTGTGGCACAGCTGATCCCTGCCCCACAGCCATGAACTGTTTTAAGACTTGACTCCGTGTTGTGCAGCACTTGCTGTTCTGATCAAGTACCTACTTGCTCCTCCTCTTCACCTACCAGGAACAGGCCTTTATTCTGGCTGGGAACAGCACCTTTCCATGCCACTGCTCAGGGGTATGCCATCCTGAATCCACAGGGAGGCAGCAGTCTGTCTCTGCCCCAGACAGGACTGCCACAGGAGCAAGGGAGCTGCCTGGCTCCTGGGAACTTCTTTCTGATCACTAACTCAGGAAAACACAGCAACATTAACACTCAGTCCACCAAGTCAGTCCCAAGCAACTCCAGGACTTGAGAGGGTCATGCTGGCAAACACTGACACTGTTCTAATGGGTGAGAAATTTATTGAAGAGCCTGTTTTAAGTAAGGAAGAACGAGCCCAAGTGGCTATGGATACAAATTCAGGTAGCTCTTCGAGTTGGACCTCAGTGATCTGAGCTTCTGAGTACCACTGAGTCCTTCCTTTTGTTTTCTGAAGTGAAATACCAAGAGAAAAGGCTTCCTTGCCCACAGGAAAGGAAAAAATCACAGAGAGGAAGGGAACACTCTGCCAACTGAAAAATAAAATGTAGAGTCTCTCTCCATCTGCCTTTGTCTAGGATCCCAGATTCCTTAACTGGGCTTTAATCAGCTTTCCATTTTGTGTTCCTGTCCAGGATCGACTTTCAGCAGGATTTCTCCATTTCTTACAGATTTCTTAGAAAGGAGTAGGATTTCATTTCACAGTGCATTAGCAAAAGTCTGTCTCTTATTTAAGCGAGTCCTTAAGATTCTCCAGAATCAATGGAAGTGTCCATTTTTTAAACCCACTGTTAATTCTGGCTGCCTTAGGCACTCCCACATTTTCACTCCAAAATAGTTCTGTCTGTCCACTGATTGTAGGAGTATGAAAAATCTTGGACAGCAGAACATTTCCTGGCACCCAGCACGTGAAAGAGAACCCTGCCCTGTATAACCACTCACCTGCACTGTCTGATGCCAGTGGCTGTACAACTTTATAGTGGGTTACGTGTGTTGTATTGTTTTAGACATTACAATGACTATAAAGCAATGGGGGTTTTGCCCTTGTTTTATAGAGAATGGAAAATTACTCTCAGCAATTTTATTTATATTCCTGATTTTGAAGGGGTGGTTTACACTCATGTAATTACTCCCAGAATGAATGACACTCCACATCTTCCATCATCTCTATCTCACTGGGTACTTTTTTCCTGTTTTGCTACATCACTGATGAGATGGAGGACTCCATTTCTTTCCATTAAAAAAACATGCACAGACAGTGCTTCCATGGTCAGTGATTGAATTTTAGAAGTTTTAAAATGTCATTTAAAAATAAAGCTGAAGTAGATGATCTTGTACAGAAGTATGAATGCTTTGCAATAGGGTGAATCCTTAGAAATATTACATTGTTAAAAATGCAAGCTCTGATACCAACCTTATTCTGTATCATTTTCTATGTCTGATTAATGGTTCATTTACTCCCAAGTCATTCGTGTTCTACCTATTAGTGCAAATAAAAGAATTTAATTTGAAGGGTCTCTGTATCATTTTCTTAACATGAGTGGTAAAGTGTTGAATGTTACAGAGAAGGGGGAATTGAATAATGCCCAAATGAAATCCTGCAGCACCTTGAGTGTGATGAAGTCCCAGCAAACTGCATTTTATAGAAACCAGAATTAAAAAAAATAAATTGTGATATTTCAAATTTCCAGATCTTCCAAAGATCTTGTGGGTTAAGTAAATTTCTTCCCTTCCCCCCCCCCCCCCCCCCCC